AAAGAAACAGTCTAGAAATTAGTTTCTGGCAATATGGCAAAGCAAATATCCTGAAAATCCTTTCAGCTTGAAATACTTAAAAATATGGAGTAGATGTATATAGGTCATAGTTTCTTTATAATGTGCAGCTGAACTGGTAAGAAAGTAACATAAATTCTGAGAGACCAGTCAGAGAGCAGGAATCCCAAGGGATGTGTGAAAACTACAACTGCTCTAAGAGTGTTTTCCTATCTTGCTAATCTAGACCTTTGGTTCTAATAGCAAACCTTAGTCTGTAGATGATGGGGGATCAAATTGGAGATCTCAAATGAAGCTAGTATTCAAAGGGCTACATTGTTAGTGAAATGGAGAACTAGGAAGAATATAACTCACTTATATGTGGAGGCTCTGACTTTGACTCTGGGTGGAGAGGAGAAAGAGTTTCTCTGAGAGTTTATACATAAACTAGTGGCCTGGTGCACGGATTTGTGCACTGGTGAGGTCCCTCGGCCTGGCCCGCGGGGATTGGGCCGAAACTGGCTCTCCGACATCCCCTGAGGGATCCCGGATTGCGAGAGGGCTGTTCTTGTGTGACACACTCTGGAATCAGGCTCCCTCCTCTCTGGTTCCAGGTGCGTCACCCGAGAACTGCAGCTGCCCAGTCACTGCAGCTCGGCAGCTCCTGTGTTGAGCATCTGCCCCCTGGTGGTCAGTGCACGTCATAGCTACCAGTTGGCCAGTCACTTGGGCTTTTATATATATAGATCAGCCCTCTTAGAGTTTTGAAACCCAAATTCATACTACCTGTGTGGTCTTAAAAACTCCATGCCAAGAATTCAGATTGGTCCCTTGGTAATTAGTGTCTCCAAGTGCTTGTTAGAAGCAAAATACATTCTGTCTCCAGAATAATATACCTTTAACCCAAGACTAAAAGAATTCCCACAGATAGAGTTCAGCTCACAATCAAAAATCACAAAACACAGGAGAGACCAGGTATTATGAGCATAGTGAATTGACCTGAAGTAGGATTTGAAGATACTATTTAGCATGTAATTCAGGAGTTGAAGTGATGGAACATGTAAAGTAGTTCACTAGAGGTCTGAAAGATTTAGAGAGACTAGGGAAAGGAGCAATTTATGAAGACATAATGATTGAGAGTTTATGTCAACTACAGACATGGATCCTCATTTTGTTTGGAGGTTCTAGCAGGGGAGCGCAGCTACTCGTATACCCTTGACCGAAGACCGGTCCTCTCCTCGGGGGGGAAGGTCGTCCTCTTCGACCGAGCGCGCAGCTTCGGGAGGGACGCACATGGATCGGTGAGGGAGGAGGGGGACACCCGCCTAGCCAGCCAGATCAGCCGAATCAACCCTGGCGATCAGTGGGGTGACAGATGTCGCAGCCAGATCGCCCTCACATCCAGATCCTCATTTTGGAAGAAACAAGTGTCCCAAAGAGCATAAATACAAAGGGTGTCTATCCCTAGATGAGTCATAGTGAAGTTATAAAAACACCAAGGAACACAAGAAAAGACTGAAAAGCAGCCAGAGAGAGAAAAGACAGACTGCCTATAAAGGAACTACAGATTGACAACAGCCAGTGGAATTCAGAACATGATAGAATAATATCTGCCAAGCACAGAGCCAGTCATATAAAGCAGATTCTTTCTTTTCTGTAAGCATAATATTAGATAGTAATTTTATAGGAAATTTATTTATATTACATATTATATTTCTTTTATACTTTAAAAAAAACAGGTATGGTAGGCAGAATAATGGCTCCCCAAAGATGTCCAGGTCCTAATCCTGGAACCTGTGAATATGTCACCTTACAGGAAAAGAGGCTTTGCAAATATAATAAAATTAAGAATATCAAAATAGGGAGATTATCTGGGTGGCCCAATGTGATCACAAAGATCCTTGTGGGAGAAAGAGGGAGGCAGGAGACTCAAAGAAGGAGGTCTGATGATAGATGTAGAGGTTGGAATGAAGGTAGAAGAGGGCCATGAAGCCAAGGAAAGCAGGTGGCTTCTAGGGTCTGGAAAAGGCAAGGAATAGATGCACCTCCAGAGCCTCCCAGAGGAACACAGCCCCACCAACACTTTGATATTAGTCTACCTGAGATTTCTGACTTCCAAACTGTAAGATGGTAAGTGTGTGTTGTTGAAGCCACTGAGTTGTGGTAATTCGTTACAGGAGTGATGGGAAACAAATACAACAGCTTTATTGAGATATCATTTATCAACTTGTTTAAAGTGTACTATTAAATGTTTGTTTTAAAATAGATTTTTTATAGAGAGGGAGGGAGGGAGAGAGAGAGAGAGAGAGAGAGAGAGAGAGAGGAAGGAAAAGAAAAACATTGGTGTGAGAGAGACACATGGATTGCACCCTGACCGGGGATCGAACCTGCAACCCAGGTATGTGCCCTGACCAGGAATTGAATCTGCAACCTTCTGTTGTACCGGACAACTCTCCAACCAACTGAGCCACACCAACTAGGGCTTACATGGTTTTTAGTATATGTATAGTATTGTATAATTGTAAAAAATTTTGAAAGATGCATCAAAAACGTGAAATTGAAAAGAAATGATCTTTGAATCATATGGAGCTCTCCTCACTGTGGTAATTTGAATAAAAAATGCAGCTGTGTTCTGGGAGGTTTGCTGGATGATACTGATGTGTGATCCAAGAAAGCCTAGGACAGTGATGGCGAACCTATGACACGCGTGTCAGAGGTGACACGCGAACTCATTTTTTTGGTTGATTTTTCTTTGTTAAATGGCATTTAAATATATAAAATAAATATCAAAAATATAAGTCTTTGTTTTACTATGGTTGCAAATATCAAAAAATTTCTATATGTGACACGGCACCAGAGTTAAGTTAGGGTTTTCCAAAATGCTGACACGC